TCGCTGGCCGCGACGCGACCGCAGACGCTAGCAAATCGCGCGATTCGCAACGTCTGACATTGGCCTTAGCGAGATTGCGTTATTATGATAAAAGCCTGATTATGTCAGAGAAGAGTGGGAAGGAGTCCCACTCGAATCTCACCGCACGCGTACCGCGACGTCGCAAGGTCACCTTTTGTATCCCCCAGAAAGAAATCGCTGAGGGAATAGAAGAATTAGGAGATGTTCTCTCACGAAACCTCTTATAGGACACCGCCATATTTTATCGTTTTAAGCGAAGTGCGTGACTTCGCTCACGGTTGCGGTACGCATCAAGAATGAAGAACGGCTTTCCAAAATGTCCCTGTCAAATCTGCAGGTTTTATGAGTCGCTCTTTGATGCGGCCGCTACTGTTTTTATAGAGGAAGCCCTGCGAAGCAGTAGCCAGATTCGCAAATGGCATAGCAGTTGTTGGGCTTCGACAGAAGATTTTGTTTTTTGTTTAGAAATAAATCGGGCTCTTTGTGAGCTCATCACCTCGAGAAATATCCTTGTCATGGTGAATAAAAACTCGGCTCCGGCTCCTCCAAAACTCGGTTTCTACAATAGTATTGGATGGAATATTTCATAGGACATGCTTAAAGCTTAGAACGCATTTCAATTGTAACAAACAAAAAATTCAGCGCGCGGCATTGATCAGTCATGTTCTGAGATGCGCCATGTGTTCTACTTCTACACGTTTTGTACACCCGGTTGCATGCGTATTCTGCCTGGAACGGGAGCCGATATGATTAAGTTTTATTGACCTGAATGTCTAACTCTTAGTAGTGTTTCAAAATCTTCCACTCATAAGAGCGCTGGTGGAGTGAGCAATTCATCTCAAATTTTGTCAAGTTTCGGTTTCCCGGCAATAAAGTAGGTACCTTGTACTGCGCAACTTCCTCTTCTGATTCCGTCTCCTCCTGGAAGTTTTGCCAGTTTATCGTGGAGTGCTGGCTCGTCTGCTTGCAACCGCTTTTCAGTGGGTCTTGTATCGTCCATGTCGAGGACGGCCTCGCACACAGCAGCTCACCCTATTCATGAAATCCTGGAGTTTGCTGGGAGATTGCGGCGAAAAACAGTCCCAATAATGTCTCAGACAATCAGTGGAGGGAGGTGTGTCTAAAGGAATCTTGCGCGAAAGACGATTTCTGCCTGACTTTTTTATTTGGACTCTGCTATCTTCACACGTCCACATGACCTTCACACTTCCGCTGTCTGCTCCAAGGATGGGCAATTGAAATTTTATTTCTACTCTCTCCTTCACCTTCATCGTTCAGGATAGCTTCAGTATGCTTACTTTTCTCGTTTTGGTCTATTGTTCAGGATTTATTGAAAAAAAAACGTCTTCAAAAAGGCGGATGTGCCACCTTTACGGACAATGATTTACTAGGTCGGATGAAATAAGAAATTTAAATTTAAGAACGGAGGACTATTTTAGCTTGTTTAATACAGGCAGATTCAAAAGGAACGCATGCGCGAAACCTGACGAGACTTAGACTTTTCACAACAATATTCAGCATAACTACCGTGTACAGCTTCACAATGGGAGTTATTTTCTTCTGGGGCCCCAATTTATTTAACGGCAGAAGCACGTAAACAAATATGACACTTGTTTTTGCAAATTCGTGCTGTTTAACGCATATTTTCTGCTTTTCTAAGCTTTCTCACCTATAGCGCCTAACCTAAGACTACGATTAGTGGAGGGGGGTGAACCTCCGGAGTGGTAACCCACGCACCGTGTGGCAAAAGTTGGAGTGTGTCAGACCACAGAGGGAATGGCCTTCTTTACTTGTTTGAGCCTCCACTATCAAAGCTCAGTCCTGATACCCGATCCATAACTTATGCGCGCAGGAGGGCGCGACGAGGCAAAATTACGGCCAAATAGAGGCTGCGCCTAGAATGAATGTCATTTCCGTAAATCAGGACTCCAAATAACCCCTATGCAGAAGCGTTTACAGCGAATTTAGTGAGAATCAGTCGTGGCGCCACCTAGCGCCAAATGGCGCCGAAATTGGCGCCAGCGCCAAAAATGAATATCATATTCGTGATCAGGGCCCTCGATAACCCCCATGGCTGAAATTTTAGCGAAAATTATTTTTTGACCCATCTCACCGCTCCTGGGGTTCTAATAGTGCAATAGTGCTGAACTTGTTCAAACAGGCTGCCTCCCGGCGACGGAACAAGGGAGGACCTCATTTGAATATCGCAAAAAAAATTTCCGAAAAGTAGGCAGATCATTAGCTTTGCTCCTTTTCAATGTGAAATAGGCCACAAGATCCAGTAGTTCCTGAGGCAATAGTGACCGTATTTGTTTGGAGCTATCCATTCTTCCATGAAACCGTTGGCACACTTCGGAACTACCTATTTTCCAAGAAGCAGGGCATGCGTTCCTTTTGAATCTGCCTGTATTAAACAAGCTAAAGTAGTCTTTCGTTTTTAAATTTAAATTACTTATTTC